CAGAGAAAAAAAAAAAAAATTTATTTATTTTATTTATTTTATTTTTTTTATTTTTTTGAGGGAAGTGCACACATTAAAGGAGAACTCCAGCGCAGAAAGAAACCTTTGGTCTCTGAGATTTTATTTTTATGATAATCGAATGTAAAGAGTTTTATCTCTAAAAACTGTTTAGCGTATACCGCAAGTATATAGGGCATAGAGTAATGAAAAATTAAAATAACAAGCCTCAAAATAACCCCAGTTAGTGGTATTAACTAGCGATTTTTATTTTTCATTACTCTATGCCCTATATACTAGCGGTATACGCTAGAGCCAGACCGATACATCAGCTGGCAGATATAATCGGCCGATATTAGGCATTTTCTAAAATATCGGTATCGTCAGTTATAATGGCCGATAAATGAATATTTAAAAAATAAAATAAAAACGGACGAATCACGCTTCAACCATGTCATGAGTGTTGTCAAAAAGTGCAGGTGGGTTAAGCAAGTTAAGCTGACATTGTAATTATAAGGTAGCTTATAAGGCAATGTAGGGATTAATTATTATTTTATTTATCAGAACTTTATTATATTTTGATGTTCCTCCGTTCTGTTGTGACAATAGAAACAAGTTTCTTTTTAAAATGCATTATCATATTATTTTAATTAAAACTCATAAATAAATAACTAATGTTAGGGAAATTTGTTAATATTTTGTTGCGCGTTTCTGAAATAAAAATAATAATACTATCGGCCGATATATCGGAATATCGGATTTTAAAACCAACAAATATTTGTATCGGTATCGGCCTTCAAAATCCTTTATCGGTCTGGCTCTAGTATACGCTAAGGATGCCACAATTTTTAATATAACATTGAACCGTTCGGTACGACATCCATGGTTGAATACGCGCTTGTGAATTGCGGTTTTCCGGTTATACGTATAAATAATTTTCCGTTTTATTTCTTTCCAAATTAACTGTTTGTGTGCCTGTAAGTCTACAAGCTGAGATGAGGAAAATCCTCCCCGCGACGGCCGCGAGTAAGTTAGGGGCGCGCAGCTTAAAGCGATAGTTCACTTTGAAATTAATTTTTGATATGTTTTATCTTACCTCAAGGGCATCCAAGATGTAGGTGTCTTTGTTTCCGCAATATTTTCAATTTTGACATTTTTAGGTCAAACTGTTCTTGTCTGTCAGTCATAAAATGCAGGTCTATGGTCACCACCTCAAAGAGCATGCACAGAGAAGTCCAAATTAAACATGATTTAATGACTCGTAAATGTAAGTACACATTGATGGCCTAAGACACGAAACGAGCGGTTTGTGTGAGAAAACGAACAGTATTTATATAATTTTTATGTGTTTTTTTATGTGAATTTATGTGTTTCCCAGTTTGTACATGGGCTACCAGCAGCTGTTAATCTTATATTTATACTATACACTAGGAACTAGTGGACTTTTCTTAGCTTTTAAGTCAAATAAAGGAGTATTGTAATAAATCGATTTTATTTTCTTACTGTTGCTATTAGCTAAACATATAAAAAAAAAAAACACTTTTATGTTTCAAACCGAACCGAAAACCGTGGTTAAAAAACCGAGGTATGTATTGATCCATGGGCTAACTGTATGGGTGCATCCACTAGTTTTTAGAGATAAAACTCTTTACATTCGATTATCATGAAAACAAATCTCAAAGAACGGTTGACTACTGTAGGTACCGATGTTTTATTAGACCAAAGGTTCATTTTGCGCCATAGATTTCCTTTAAGATAGGATCCGGCTTTTATAAGAGTGCAGGGATGCGTTAGTGTGGCCGCCTTCGCCTGTCATCTGGATTCAGAGCTGATGGTCCAGAAATGTTTTGTTGATTGAATTAAAGGATCAGTAGATCTTTCTCCTGGGGTTTTACTGTATATTTGCCACTGCAGTCAATAGTGAAATATGAGCGTGAGCTGATGAAGAGAATGGGGCAGGCGGTTTGAGGCTAATGTAAAGTGACATTCAGGTGAATCCCTGTCAGTTTCCACTGACTGCCCTGATAGGGTAACAGGGTTTACTGCCGCTGGGTTGTGTCAACATTGAGACCGCCCGCAGGTTCACACTCACATGAAGACAATGCACCGAAATCTGGAGAAAACAACAGTGCGTGTGCGCATGTGTATTCGTGGAGCTGCAACATTGTGTTTCAGAGCGCACACAGCATGTGGGTTTGTTTAGTGCTCTGACAAACCATAAATTGATTAAGCCCTCGCCTAAATGAAAACAGGAAATTGCCACTTAGAAGAAGAGCCCTCTCCATTATTGACAAATATTACTCCCCGAGTGACTGAGTGGAGAACAGCCATAGAGACGATGGGTGGAAGACGAGAGAACTGAAGCACATCAGACCCGAGCCTCTGAGGTCTGGTTTCAGATCAGCCGTGAAGAGAGCCAATCAAAGTCCAGGACCTCGCCATCACTTGATGAAATGACCAGACAGCGCTCGGTGTGCTGAGAAAAATCCATTATATTCCAGAA